GCTAATAATCGTTATGATATTACCCAATATTTTATTATATATAGAACTAACATCTAATCTCAAGAACTGAGAAACTACGAAGTCTGCATTCAGAAAATGACAAAATTCTCTCAGCTATTAAAGTACAGGGTTAAAAACCTTTTCTAAACACGCCTCACCTAACGTACGACGTCGACGTGTAATTATGAATACTAGACAAGGTAATTTCAATGTTTAGGCCGTTATCTACTATCGATATCTTTTTATCGATTTCTATCTCGATACTTGATATGGTATACAAAACTGGAATATGGGAGCTGTCATATTAAAATCAAAACAAGCATGATAAACTAAACCGAACTTATCTTTACGGTAACTGAAAATATTAACAATCGATATTCCAGAAACAAAATTAATGTACACAAACCAAACACCGTACATCTATTTTTCATAAAAAAAATTACAAAATTTAAATTTGTAGGGCACACCGACTCATTTACATGTTATTCGAGCAACAGACCCTAGGGGACCGTATCAGCCATTTATGAGTTGAAAGTATTAAAGAAAAGAAACTCGATAGATATAAAAAGATAGGTATAATAATAACAAGAAAAAAAGCCGCGTGCAAGAAAACGGCTCGCGGCGAATAAGGCCCGCAGAGAGCGGCATTGTTACCAGCCTTTTAAAAACGGAACGAAATGAAACGAGGGTGGGTAAGGAAATCGGATGAAAATATGAAAAGAATACACGTTATGTACGTTGAAATGGAACGTAGAGGGAATCGCACGGTCCGCAAATATAATTTGCATAGTCAAGTAGCCGAACTTTTGTCTGTGGCGGATGTTCGCAGCCATATTCGTTTCGTTGCTTTTTAACCGCACTCTCATTCTGTATCGGTGCGGCCTTTTTATTGCATTTTTTCCCCTTTGAACGGATTCCTTCAATATTTCGGTGGTTCGTTTTTATTCATACGCTCGGTCATCGAATTGTTTCGCTTCATATAACACGCTTTGTTGTTTTCTATTAATATCTACTGTCTTAGTATTGTTATTTTTCATTATATGTATTACATTCTAGTAAAGTCTTGCGTGATATTTCATAAGTTTATATGTACTGGTAAGTACACAGTACGAATAAGTGACGTATAACATAAGTAAATTAATAAAAATAACCCTTCCTCTGTCAACTCTCTGATCAAAAATAGACCGAAATAGACCAACACAAAAGACCGATTACCATAACATCATAGATGTTCAAGTGCTTTGAAATTAGAATCATCGCCGACTGAGCGGAGGCAACAATAGATTATTTTTTTGTTTGACGAGCATCTGAATTGAATCGAATTAAATAATCGATTGCAGGATTATTACGATTCATCGTTGGTTATGAACTTGTGAGTGAGGGTGTATGGCCGGATTACCGATCACAAAGCGGCGCCGATGAGGAACAGACAAATATTGACCTGTAGAAACAAAGGAGAATGGTGGTTACTACCATCGAATGTACGTGGGAAGACTTCGGGCGTTTCGTTACAGATGGTCGCTCTATTGTGATGGCTCATTTGAAACAAAAAGAAAGTTCGATTAAAATTAAAAAAAAAATTAACGGAGAAAGTGATTTTTCAATGGTTTATTTTCACTAAATAGACGTAATCAACGTGTTAACCGACAAGAAAGGTGAGATGAAAAGGTCCAAAAATAAGCTCCATCGGAGTGAAAAACTGTTTTCCAGAGGTGTTGGACTGAATCGATGCTCGGACTCGATGGTCCATCGAATTTTCCACTGAACGGATCTTTGGACGCGAACCTTTGTATTGGCGAGAAATTAACTGAAAAAGGACCTTCGATCCTAATTTCGTTGACAAAGAAATTAGCAACGCTCACAGACTTACAAATATACACATCAACATATTATTTCAACATCGTATGTGAAATATATTGAAACGATGTTCAAATTTCAAAGATTAAGAATACCCTCACGTGTATATGTGTGTTTAATGTAAATACAATTTACAATATATTGTTATTATACTATAAAAGGCCATTAAACACTTTTTGACACTAAAATTAATATAGCCATTGTCAACATTACAAGAGTACTAAAAGACAAATAAATAGATTAGTCTGTAGTTCAGTTTAAAATGTTTATCCCTATTGGATAAAAAATAAAATAATCACAGGATAAATTATTTTAAATCAATCTATCTGAACACTTCCCATGGTTTCACGTAATTCATAAAGATACACACGAACCAATCTCTAATAATGCTAAAAAGTTTGCAAATCGAAATAAAACCATATCCCTGTTTACCGTACATTATTACTCCTCCTGTCAGAGGCCGCGTGATGACGAATGATGCGTAGGAGTCGATCGCTAGTGACCTCGGCCGATTCATTAGCTGTAACATTAATTACTAGCAAATCCTTAATGAGAAAATTGTTTTGTTTTGTTTTGTTTTCATAATTCGATTATATCTTGATCTTTCCGTTTTTCAGCAAATACTGATGTTATAGACTCGTACATATGTATAACAAACTATATAGTTTGTTAGATTAGCTAATAGAACATTATGAAAGATTAAATAAGAAACTAGAATTACACTTATAAAAAGAAATAAATAGTTAAAGGGACATTAAACTTTCCTGTAGCGTAAACATTAAAATTCTACCAGCGCACAGCGGCAGAAGTGATTCCAACATTTTTATTAGTTTATTATTCATGCTGTTTCCATAAAACGAACGGGTTATCTTCGTCCTCATCGTGGGCCGACTTCATCAAAACTCTATCTTTTGCGATCACGAGACAGATCTCGAAGTTAGTCCGTGGTCCAAAAGCAACGACTGCGCGTTATATTTTATTTCTATCATTATTTAAATCATATTTTGTTAAAATATAACAGCGACACTAAAACGTGACTTCATACCACATCGGTTGCATATTGGTTACTGCAATTTAAAAATGAAATATATCAGTGTTGTTAATTATATTATATTATAAATCCACTCATAAGGATGGGGAGAGAGACTGTGTCAATAACTACAGGTCAATCTCTATCCTCCCTACGATATCAAAAATTTTGGAACGAATAATGAACAACCAATTAATTAAATTTTTAGAATCTAATAATTTTCTTTCAACTTCTCAGTTTGGTTTTCCAGTAAATCAACATCTGATGCGGTTTCAAAACTCACAAACCTATTAATAACTAATCTTGATGTTAAAAAGAAATGCTTGGCAATCTTTTTAGACCTGACCAAGGCTTTTGACACAGTCTCTCTCCCTCAACGTCTCATAAAACTAGTAAACGAGTGAGAGGTATCCCGCTGGAATTGTTGAGGGACTACCTCAGTGACAGAAAACAACTCCTCCTAACCATCCATTTCTCGTTGCCTTACGATCCCACTCTCAATAGAAGTAAGCGCAAAAAAGGCAAGGTTTGTAGAGGTACTAGATTTCATTCCAGTCATTCTCACATTGGCTTCCTCGGACCCTTTCTATTAACAGAGTTAACACAATTTTATCGATATATCACTTGAGGAAATCAACTTGTAAAACAACTATCACTAAATGTCTACTGTCACTTAAGTACCAGGAAACCGAACTACTGCTTGCTACAATAATCTAAATTTCTTCTGCAGAGAAAGGGCAGTGACGCTTACTGGAGTTACTAAATTAATTCTTCGACCTTCGACTTCGTCTCATGCCTTTTTACGATCACTCCCACTATAAATATTCATATTATTAGAATACAAAGATAATCTTCGCATTTCTACACGACTCCTCGCACAAAGTAAACACGGTCACAAGCACACACACAAACACACGCAAACAGCAACACAAGATAGAGATATGGCAGCAATTCAATTTCTTTTGTTTTCATTGCTAAGTTAATATGTAATGTAACCACTTTCTGCTTCTCTACTTTGTTATGTTTTTTTATATAGATAAAATGTTACTCTAATGGAGGCAGTGAGCACTGGTTACCTTGTCATATGGGTTTACATAAAAACCTCTTTCAGGCTGTCAGTCTGCCACATAACGGTCTACAAATTTACAAGACTAAAATAAGTAACATTATATTATTTAACTACCTGTATGTGGAAGAACAAATAAACTTTATTCTATTCTATAAATCTTACATTCATGCTATAGGAATAGTTAAATTTATAAATATTTTTCTACGATATGAGTATTTTGTTTTTAAATTAAGGGCGTTTTAAACAAGTACTTAATTTTGCCATAAAACCATATTTGCTCATAAGTTTGCTCAGCAAACACTGATTTCTATCCCTGATCATGAGAAACTTGGAAAAATTGATGAAAGTGATAATCAATTATACGATAATCTAATCTAAGATTAGTGACCGCTTAATAAAAGCTTTATCCAAATACTTATTACAAAACTATTACTTCTATTTTTGCAAATAATGTGCACAAAATGTAGATGTCCTGTAAAGAGTTTCCGCTTCTCCTGTGGCTTATCCCAGACACCGCGTGCCGCCCCTGCCTCGTCGGAAGGCAGGGCCTCCAGCGTCTATCAACACGTGCACCGACTCAATCATTCGTCAATCGAACTCCAGCGGGATAAAGATAGAAATATCGCAACTTCATATGTCGGACAGAGATACCCAGCGGTTTTCCATTTGGTCGATCAAACGATTATCGACAGAGAAATGCCAAAACGAAAGGTGGTAACTGCGGACGAATCGAGAGTTACCGCGAACGTATTATGAGATCGTTTTCAGATAAAGAAAAGGTGGTGTCGTGGGAGAAAAAGGGATAGAATAACAGTAACTTCAGACTCTGTCTTTTTATGTATTTTTGCACCTTTACTAATCTCAGTTATCATACAATTTTTCACGGCGTGTCAAGATTGACAATTTTACTGAGAGAATTGCGAGTGGAATTCCTAAATCATTTAGATTTTTTTTTATATGTATGAAATCCACAATTATATTTGTATAATGTAAATTCAACCTACCCTATTGACGTAAATTACTGAACAACATTTTTATTTTCAGTTATGTATCAAAAGCGGCTAAAGAAAGAGCGGAAGCAACGGCAACAAGTTCAAGAACAACTAGATATGGAACTAAAAAGGAAACAAAAGATAGAAGAGGCACTGAAGCAGTCCGGAGCACCTGCCGAAATCCTTAGAATTGTTACTGGTAAGTAGCATATTTCATTGATAAATGATAAAAAAATTATTACATATCACATTTTATATATTTTCGCTTTAGTATTTATTAAAAGTTGGAAATAGTTTTTCTTAATTTTTTATCAAAAATCATGTGTATCGTATATATGCTAAACTTTGCCGTGATATGTAGTATTTAATTTAGGTATAAAGATCGGCAAGTGATTTAATAAATAGCTTGAAGTATAACCGAACAATAACAAAACAGTTTTACATGGCTCAAACATTCCTAAAGTAAAACCGAACGGGATTGTAGCATGATTTAAAATATGTATATTTATCTTAAACTTGTCAAGATTGTCAATACCATCACTATCATACCGCTCAACAAGTTCCATAAAGTGTGTGCCCCTGACATGTTAACTCGCCGTCTGTCAAACTATCTGGATATTAGCTACATCTTCACTTACAAACTCACGTATCTACCTGATACTTAAACATGATTCGTAACTTTAATGTGAAGTAATAAGATTCGTTTCTGATAGCTGATGAGGGTGATATGTTACATTGAAAGTCGTTAAGTTGATATGGAGTGCGTGACGTAAGAAGGGTGGGTAAACGCCGGCGAAGGCTTCTACTAATCTCCATGTCAGGAAATCGTTTCGCAGACCATTTGAAACGAGGGTTCAGATACTAACACGCATTCGATTTCTTGCATAATCCGTGTTCATGTATAAGTTTATTGCTGGTTTGATTGGCAATACTATTTACTATCTTCACCTCTTTTTATTAATTGACATTATAAACGACGGAAGGTGGAAATGTTGCTAATACTTATAAAAATACAAAAACGAGTTTCTTTGACAAAAGGTTTATTATGACAGATAGATTTTATCGGCCTCCGTTGTTATTTAAAACGGTGTCAAAATTCAAAGAAAAATAAATGAACAACGGAGGCTACATACGTTGCCGTTGTCTACATATATATAAATCACTTTAATCGGGTTAACAGAATTGTAATCTTTTGTTTTTAATTTACATTACAGTATTCAATATAGTTACACATTTTTAAGTTTTTTACAGCATTTGTAAACCAAAAAGGTTTATACCAACGCTTTCATGAATATTTCTTCGTTGTTCATCTTTCTTTCTTTTACATCAACTTTTTCAAAGAAATTACCCATTTCAGTTATTATTATATTTTTTTTAAATACGTTTTTCTAATACCCTTTCTTAACTGTAGAAAAAATGGCGAAAATAATCACAAGGACATTGTCAATGTTAAATCTTAAAGACAATTTTACTATAGAAATCACCTATCAGAAATATGAGAAAGCAGTTTACTTATTTGATTCAAAATTTAACTAACAATAATCACCCGAATTGAAAGAGTTTAAATTTACACCACTATTCCATCCTTCCCTTGTCATATGTGTTCAGTTTTTGGTGTTATATGACCTATATAACTCATATAGGAGTCTAATATCATCACGTGTTCCACAGAGAATTTATCACCGCCGGTGCAGGAGACGCCTCGGTCGGAGCGCGAGAACGGTTCGGAAAGCAAACCGCCGAGCGCGGAACCACCCGCGGCCTCACCCCCCTTCCAACGGGAACCCCCCCGTACGCCAGACAAGCCGCAATGGAACTACCCCCCGCCACCTGTCGACATCATGAGTGGAGGAGCTGCCTTCTGGCAAAACTACTCTGGTATGCTTTCTTTACTTCTTATAAGATAAAGAATTAGCGATACGGAATTAAAGATCTGATGTTATATTAGTGACGATACTATCTAAAATTATTATTTTCTACTAATGAAATTATGTACAATATATCACATATATTCTAAAAGATATTGTATGATTACGGTGGATTCATAATGCATTTTTTAAGAAAAAAAAAACGGAAAAAGTAACCCTCGAGTTCTTATAATGATTTCTAACTTGCTCCGACATTTTTATTCTCTGAGATCCTTATTTCCAGATCAATAAAACATAAAAATCCAAGTTTAAAATTTTTTTGCGTAATAAATAACTAATATTGAATTTTCCGACTGAAACATCGGGATATGTTTGGTTTTTAACAAAGGGTCCAGAAAAAATGTCGACATATGAAATTTATACTCGTCATATCCCATACCGACTGCTTATTGAGAATTCAAAGAATTTAAAAATACGAAATGAGCAATATTGCTTTTGCCGTTTGCTGCGCATTCTATTGGGGTTGATCCCGTTTATAAATAACAATGAAAGAAAATCACATTTAATTGGCTATAAAAGCTTTTCAATAGGAATATTTTATACGCCACGGTTTAGATAAAATATAATTTCTTTGGCTTAAAAACAATGAATAAAATATATTCCAAAATATCACGGAATTGTCAAGTTTGTTTAGCTTTAACAAAGCGGGACAAGATGTTTTAAACAGGTCTTTCTACACACATCAGATACCGTGTATTTATTGGCTTATTTTATATTTTTAATGTGACAATGAATATATTATATAAATTATTTACAGTGAAAAATTATAAAACTATGTTATCCGTGTATATGAGAGCAAATGCATTGTTGTATGATACAAAAACTAGCCATAGGACAGTGAAAATCCACTGATTTTGTACTCTGATAAACCGAACACTAAAAATACGTATTATAAAAACAACAGAACAGCTTTCTAGTTAATAAAACATGCTTATGCATAGAAATCTCAAGCGAGGAATGTCTGCTTCAAGGAAGCTCAAAATCTGAATTAATTGAGAATACAGTATTACACTATTATATTTTTCTCGTTTATTCTCTGTTTATATATAGGTATAAATAAGCGCCAATCAATTGCATAATGCAACTACAGTCCGATTATGAACCATGCGCCATTATTTTCCGAAACGAACTCAATAACGTTAGGGGTTGAAAAGGCAAAACATTGATACTAAAATCTGAATAAATGGAGAATACAGTATTACACAATTATATTTTTCTCGTGTATTCTCTGTTTATATATAGGTATAAATGAGCGCCAATCAATTGCATAATGCAACTACAGTCCGATTACAAACCATGCGCCATTATTTTCCGAAACGAACTCAATAACGTTAGGGGTTGAAAAGGCAAAACATTGATACGGATTTAATCATTTCCTGCATTTTGCCGTCGAGTGGCTTTTACCGACGGACTGCTTTTCAAGTAGAAATTGCAACTAATTTAAGTGTTACCCAGGCCAAGTATCTAAACGCACGCGAACACGCAACTAACAATTTGTTGAAGATGGGAAATGCATACGAATTTTATTTCAGTAAGAGTTTTACTTTTATTGAGATCAAAAGCACGAGCAATATTCAAGAGTTAGATGTCATTAAAAAGTTTAATTGCAGTTAAAAAAAATTGTTACAGTATGTTATTAATTATGAGATGTCTGATATGTGACATACATAGAAGAATTCTGTGTCAAATTTGTTGCGCTAAGATATTGGCATTTCTACAGAAACCTATAAACATTAACAATGTGAAAGAAAACAAAATCGTTTTTGTACATAGTACTTTTTATTGATTGTTTTAAAATTGCTTGCATCAATTCTCCTCTATTAGGAAATTTAAAAAAAAAAACAGACTAAATACTACTTATTATTTTACAAAATACAAACATGGATATTTACGACAATTATTTGTAAATAGTCTCAATGAATTGGAAATAATATTGGAATATGTTTCTCTGCTTATTTTTTTTTTAATTGTATAACTACTTATTAATCAATATTGAGTTATGTTATGTATCAATACTGTAAAATTTTATAAGTTGACTAAACTATAACTAGTATTATTGAATAGTCTTAAAAATAAGACTACATCTTGACGGGTCACTACTATTGGCTGAATTTAAATTAATTGCTGAATTTAATATATTTATATTGTTGTCATTCTGGTAGATACCACAGTAAGATTATCGTTAGAAAAATATATTATGTGATAAAAAGGGCAAATTCAAAATGTCGTTAATGGTAAAAAGGTTAATAACAGAAAAAACAAAATTTATATAACTCGATCCTTTCATCAAGTTTTCTCGATGGAGTATCTAAAAGAGAAAAACAAACATTTTTTATTATTCGTAAATTAGAAAACTTTTCTGCGTGCTTACTACACCGGACAAGGTTAAGGAAGAACAGAATTCAATTATTGTTTTCAATAAAGAAATTGAATTTTCTAATATAGCGGGATTAATCAACTACAGTTTTATTTACAAATGCTTTGCTATGCTATGCTTCTAGATATTTAACTAACACTTTAATAAAATACTATATTAACTAAGCACTAATAATAATAGTTTGAAGTTTACAACATTCAATAATAAATTCCTCCCCTAAGGCACAATCCATTTATAACATGTCTTATTTTTTTCTTATAACGGTGTTTTTAGGAAATCTTGATAGTTCTTGCATGAAATAACAAAAACCCGCAAAGTACCTAATTAAAATTTAAAATTATCTTAAAAAAATATTAATATTTTTTTTATTCATGATATATTTTTACATAAATACAGGAGAGATAATTCTTACTTTTTCTTACATATAAGGGAGGGTGTCAAAATCTGTCAAAAATAGATGATGCCATCAGGTATAATAAATTCAGAAGCGCTCTCTGAAAGCACTATAACTCTTATTAAAAAAAAATTGTTACATAGATAAATAATATCATTTAACCATTGGACGACTCCAATTCACGAGAAAAGAGGTAGAAATATTTTTTACAATTCGAACTCTTTCGAATTTTCGGATAGATAGGTACAGATTTTATCCTATCCCAAATTAATAATAAAATATCATCTAACCATTGGACGAAAATGATCAATATTTTCACATCAAAACCAAATCTGTACAGATAGATACAAACCTGATGTTACATAGGTAATATAAAGTTGAAAAATTAATAAAGAGGGAACTTGAACGAGCTACTTTTTAGGTGAGTTTGTAAAATGAATGGAAATAAAATTGTACCGCACAGGTGCGCTCAAAACCTTTGGCGATATTAACTTTTTTGATCACGCCGAAGCAATACACTGGTAAACTCATAAAATTACGAATACGTAGAAACATTATCGTTGAATTAAATAGAGATTCTAACAAATTATCATTATATCTAATAAATAGCTCTTGAGAAGCTTTTAAAGTGTTTTATATTTATACGTATTTTAAAAGTTTCGGCTCTTATTTTTTAACCTCTTCGAATGCGTTCTAATCATGAATAAAATAATATCTCATACAAAATACTTTGCTAATACACGTCTTATATTTTCTCTTACAATCTCCTTAAAACTTCTTGTCTTTATTCCAACTTATAAAAAAATAATATGGCCGATATAATTAATTAAATATAAAGGCTATGTAAATTAGCCATTTGAGTAATAATAATAATAATAATAAAAAAATTATTTCTCTCATCACACAGAATGTTTTACATACTAGTAAGTTACAAACACAGTTGTTCTTAAGGTTCTGGTGTGAGACTGATGCCTAAGTTAGATATTCAGATGAATACCTAATTCTTACAAAGAAACAATTTCGTTAAAATTAACTAATGAACGATAACAGAATATATGGACCTTTTTTTTTCATTTAAAACATCAACATAATTATAAATGGAAAGATGTAGTGTTTTAGTCAAACTGTAGTGAGCTCGAGAAGGGAATCCTAAAGAAAGAAAATAGTTTTTTTTATTTTCCTTCCAGAAATTCAATCCAATCTGTACATTTGGTCACGCATCAATGAAGTTGCAACGGCGGCGTCCCGATCTGAGTATTGTACGTTTATTCGAATTCTATTACGGACAGTTTCACAGAACTCTTGTATGTTAATCTTGTAGTACACAGTGATACGAAACCGAAGCGATAGCGAAACGCAGAGCTCGCTTCGTTTTTGTTTCCGATTCGCCAATTTAGTCTCGTTGGACTTTAGATGAACAGCTTATAAAAATAATATCATCATCAAGCCAAGTACAATCTTGATACTGAATAACAACAGTGATTTAAATATATTATCTAACTGTAGTTGCAATTAATGTTAAAAATAATATTGTTAATATGTTGATATCTAACAGCAAAGTTTCACTTTCGTTCCGCTTACCGTGTGAGACGCACCAATTACACCATGCCGTTTCGTTTATGATTTGCTTTGCTTTGGCTCCTGATCGCTTGCGCGGCAGTGTGCTAGAGGCGTTAGTCCCTGTGTGCGACGAGAGCAACCCTTTGTCGACAACCTTCTCAAATTCCCTGTCGAAGAATTAATCATCGGTTTTTATGTACAATTTTTTACGGCAGTAATTAATTTTGTTTTAACAAACTAGGTGTCGATTGCGTTAAAAATTAATGAGAGACTTTCTATTATTTGTTCGGAAAGATATAGGATGTCACAATTAAAAGATAAAAAGAAAATTTTAAAAACAGTGGTAAAGTAATTATATTTTTTAGGAGGATCGCTGTGTAAACAATTAAAATATTCTCTTGTTTGTCACTTCAGTTGTTAAAAAGCACTCTAAGTCATTATATTTAAAAAAAATCAAGATACATAATGAAAGTTAATCGAGTCTGCCTTCGAGAGTAACAGGTCGATGTCGACAATGAAGTGTTCCTATAAATTTTTTGCTCATTCATAATCAAATGGCAATTTTAAGCAAAGAAACGATTCTAAACAAAGTATCAGACAGCTTCTACTGCAATCATCACTCAATATAGAAACACGTTTTTGTTCGTCACCAGTAAATTCGTTATACGTTTGTTTCTTTTTAAATAAATCGATTCACGTCCACAATGCTGGGTCCTTTTTTGTCATTCCATGACCATTCAATCAAAACGAACTGGTTCTTCTGAATGTTTTTGTGTTATTACAATTCTCCGTGAAAGTTAATTTTATTGTTGACTTGGTATATCAGATTCTTTGTTGAACAGTAACTAGATGTCAATGTAAAAACATTATTATTTTTAATTTTAGAAAATAAAATATAATATGTACTATGATTGGGAAACATTTTAAGCGTAGGAGCAAACCATTATAGTTATTTCAAAGAACAAATAGATTATAGCTCTCAAAGGAACCGGCAATTCTGTTTTAGGAGAGGCAAATGCAAAAATATTACGTATTCAAACAAACCTAATGGGACATTTAGGGGTGGCAGCGAAGTGAAACGGCAAAGGCCGAAGCTTTTAAGTGTATAATATTTAATTGTGACGCCCTAGGCGTATAATCTCGCCC